TCCTCCCCCTGGAAGCTCACCAGAGCCCAATCTTCAGAAGTGGTAGAAGACCATTATTTCCAGTTTTATTTTAATAATTGACCAGTTTCCATAATTCCTATTTGTCTTGATTTCATCATAAGATGCTCCGAGCCTTTTGGGGGAGGGAAGCATATAAATCAAATAAAAAGTAAATGGAACAGTGACTCTGCTCTGTGTGCACAGAGGCAGTTCGCTGTGTTGGTCTGAAGTCAGGCAGAAGGCAGGGTAGAGATGAACCTTATAGACTAACTAAATCAGACATACATAAGCTTTGGTGAGCCCAAGTGCACTTTATCAGATGCTGTGTTGAAGCTTCTGAGGGAGCAAGCTCAGGTTCATGAAAGCTTACACATCTATGATTTGGTTAGTCTGTAAGGCGCATCTCCACCCTGCCTTCTGTCTGCCCTGTGTGTACCTATGTGCTATTTCTTTAAATACTAGATCACACCAGAATCTTTAAATATATATATGGAAAACCTTGCATCACTATGTACTCTTCTGATTTAGCTAGTCAAATAGACTGGGATGCATAAATATGAAAAAAAAAAGGCTCACTGAAAACCATCAATCATTTTAAATTTATTTAAGCATGAATACAAAACCATTCAAGAACTCTGGATACAGGGTGAAATGCAGGGAACTCCAAAACATTCTTTAGTAAATTAAAACATCAGAGGTTTTTAAACAGGTCCCACTCAAAAAAATAGAATTAAAGCACTAAATAACAATGCCATTGACACAGGAGTTATAAAAAAATATAAAATACTTATTTACAACTTTTAGAAAAAATAACATTAACCATAAAAAATACAAACCTGTGTATTTTTATGGGAAATCCCTGACCACAGAAATCATTTTTTTAAAAGTGAGTAGAATCCAAGTTGGTGTTGTCTAAAGACACTCCAAATATTACCTCCTACCATCCTCAGATCCTCCTTAGATGCACCAAAATTGCCTTTCACCATTAAAATCTACGTTTCCCCCAGCATCTCTCTGCCCATGTAAGAGCACACTGAAGTTCCAGTTCAGTTAGGCATCTCTGCACAAGACTGCACTTAAGTACATGTTTAAATCCCATTGAAGTCAATTGGACTTTAGTGTATGCTTAAAATTGTGTGTACTTAAGAGCCATCCTAAAGACACATGGATTCCAGCATGTGCTACATATTTTCTCAAATTAGGAATTCAGATATAACTGGAGTTAAACGAAAAAGAAAGGAAGTGGAAAAAAGAGCCCCACTTGTTAAAGAAAAGTTGAGCCATGAAATACTTCCATGATTCTTTGTCGGCTGTTCCCAGATGAACTTCTACGGATGCTGAAAAATGAATATTTTTTTCCTTTATCTCTTTATAAACTAGCCTCCCTCAGTGTATCAGTGTCCAAATCTGAAAAGCAGGGTTTCTATGGGGATTCCCCCCCCACATTACACTGATTGTACTGAGAATTTTCTTTCTTAAAGACAATTTTCGTTCTTTAAAAAAAAAAAAATGAAACAATATAAATAGAAGTCAATCACTGGTTCTCAGCCAAGTTGTCAAAAGTAACTTCTTTGATTATGGATGCCACAACTTTTGTTTGCCTAAACTGTGACGACAAGAGCCAGATTTTAGTACCCACAACTCTATAAATATCAGCAAGCGTTATTAAAAATAAAAAAATAAAAACCCCAAACAGGTTAAAGGTATCTCAGATTGGACACCCAGGAAAGAAGCTGCCAATTTCAAAACTTTTGGCCTTTGTTAATAACTTTGGGCCCAGTGCTACTTCTATAGAGATTAATGGAGCCATTGACTTCCACGGAAACAGGAACAGGCCCTTGAATCAAGTTACATTTTTCTTAACAATGGCAGGCAGAGTTGTGCAAACCCCATATTAACAATATAATAAGCATCTTAAGCATCTTAAAAATCACAGCTCTAGCTCACTGCTGGGGAGAGGGAAAGGATAAATCTCTGCAGAAAGAGAGGGATGTGGTTTTCTAAGAGAAATCTTAAAAGGAAGAAGACTCTTCTTTCTTCAATACGTGTGTGTTGATGCCTTGCGTTTCCCCCCGCACACACACAGTGTCAAGGTTGCCAGTGAGATCAGCAAGAACAAATAACCCATTAGCAAAAAGCAAGAATCTGCAACACACCAATAAAGAAAGTCATTTTGAACCCAGTTTTATCATTTTTAACAGAGTCACACCAGCTGATTGCATAGTCATCATTACATATTTAGGCTGTCAGGTGGACCTTGAATGAATGAAAGAAATGGGGAAATCCTCCACTTGCATTGGGCCCAATTCCGGGGGAGGTGCTGCTGTATGTATGTATGTATGCAGCAAGTATGTTGCACTGCTCCCAATGGTAGTTCATGGCTGTTGAGAGTCCTTGGTACCCCAGGCACTTGTACACATGATGAAAATTGCCCTTTTTTATGAATTAACTGTGTTACACTTTTCACGTATGGGTTTTTCTGGCGATTTAAATGTCTGTTTCATGATTCAAAGTAAAACACATCCCAATGTATTTTACATTGAATTGCCACAAATTAAACTGATGCATCCTTGGATCTGTCACGTGAAAACAGAAATTCACTCAATGACGTGAAATGAGCCCCTTTGGCCACCAGAGGTTGCTTCAATTTGCAGACAGGAGAGAAAAAAGATAACTTCAATTTGCTGGAATTTCTGTGTAATATTTATTTTCAGACACCAGTGTAGCAGCTCAGCCTGACATGAATTAATCTTCTGCTCACCTACCTGCACAGATACCTATGCCTCTCCCTGCCCCCAAACCTACAATCATATCTATATGAACAGAGCCTTTTCCTTACATGAACTCTGTTAATGTTGCTCTATCAATGCAGCAGGCTTCCTGCATATTAATACAACTGCAAATTCAGGACTTATCTACTGGTTTAGTTCCTACTGGCCAGCCCAGGAAGTGGGAGAAATGGAGCAGCTGTAGTTAAATGAATGAATTCTGTATATAAACAACTGCTTCAGAAAACAAGAAAAATAAATTCTGCTTGAAAATAATAAGACCTATGTTTCTCAATGTTTCTTTGCAGTACCTAGCTAGACTGGGTATTTCCTGGATAGATATTAAGGCTTTTCTTTGATGAACCTCCTTAAGTTTTTTATTAAATCAGAACTAAAGGTCTCCAGCTGGGTAAACTAAAAGGCTCCAGCTGGATAACAACTGTGAAAGAAAATGGTCTCTGAGGGAATATACCCTTATGCTAACCCACTATAATTTTACCCTTATGATAGCAGCCTGCATTTCTAGTTATAGCCAAAATCAGAATGCCCACACAGCCTTTAAGTTTCACAAGCAAATTGATACAAACTGTTCTTTGGGGGGATAGGAGGAAATATCACAGATAGACCTCCTCTCTCCTGCCAGTGGCGGTGGAGACAAAGGGAAGGATGGATAAAGTTTCAACATGACGGGTTAAATAAAACACGTACAGGGGAAAAACCAAGTCCCATCCCCAACCTATAATTTGCCTTGATCAAAACCTGGCTTTGCCCTATCCGCCGTGCCGCCCAGGGGGCAAAGAAGCTGGCCAAAGGAGCCTGTTGAAGGCAGAATATGGGCAATTTAGCAGCAAGTTAACAGCAGCTGGCAGAAGGACCAGCAGGGGGGTGGGAAAAACTGGTAGAATCAGTAATTCTGATAAAAAAAAATGCATGGGGGGGAATGCCTGCACACTGAAAAATAAATTAATTAAATATGATGCATCTCACTTTGGACCTGGGGGGTCTTTTGGACCTAACCTGTTTGGACCTGGGGAGTCCTGTGAGCAGGAGGACAAATGAAAGAAGCCCAGAGGCACCCAAGCAGTTCTTAATTCTTTGATGGAACCAGGGCCAAGTTATGGGGTGACGGCACTGCTGTCAGTAAGCTCACCCTTTGGGGAGCCATGGGCAGCAAGGCACAGGGGGGCACCCATGCCAGGTCCATGCTGGGCAGGGGGGCAGATGACCATGTAGGTGACTGCAGCTTGGCATGGAGCTCCCTGCGGGCAGCTATGGCTGGAGGGAATGAGGGGATTACTGGCTTGCCTGAGCCCCTGCTGTAATTGAGTACCAAAGAGATCAGTGGGGTGGATTGTTTTATGGCTCCCCTCTGCTATAATTTACTATGAATTGTGCACTGAGCTTAATTTGATTTAAAGGCTGTCACCTCTAAATATTGACGCATCGATTTTTAAATGATGTTAATCTTAATAAACCTATTTAATTTAATGACGATTAAACCCCATCACGTGTACAAACGCCCTGGGAGGACATACTCAGAAGTCTGCAAATACTCATTGATCCTAATGACTCAGAGCTGGTAACAGAGGTATAATTCACACAACAGGTAAAACTACTGAAAACCCTGTGTCAGTATTTATTCAGAACCAAAAAGTCCTTAATCTGAATTGGCTTAATTCACTTTGGAAGTAAAGTAAGCTAAACTGAATGAAGACCCCTTTAATTCTGAATAAAATCAACACATATGGATTTGTGGCAGTTTATTTAATCCACTTTTACTAGTGAATTCAGATTAACTTTTCTGATTGTGTCCCCATGTAGACAGGCCCTGAAATCAGGATCTTCACCCTAGATTTGCCTTTTGTCTAAGGTGTTTTACAGTTGAGGGTTTTTGTTTTTTTTTTAAATTAATCCTGCATAACTAAAGCACAGCATAATACGGGTTAATTTGCTGACACTGCATCTCATAACAGACAAAATGTCTAATATTTTGGCTCTTACAAGACAGTCTCAAAAACAGCAATGAGTTGACTTTGCCAAACACAAATGGAAGGCAGGAAAAGCACTGCATCCAGCTGGAGCTGCCTCTGTCTTAGATGTGAACTGACTCTGTCCAGAAAATATTCAAATCTGAAAGCTTTACAACAGTAAAAGTGTCCATCAACAAACAAATAATCCATGCTAAATGTGCATGTGGGTTTAGAGCACGCAACACTGTCCACCCCTGTTAGCTGCAGGGGGACACCATGCCTTTATTTACTAGAAAACAATTCATCTATTTACATTAGGCCTGTGATCTCAGCCAGCTTCAGGCATCCCTGGCTATGAAAGTAGCCAAGAGAAATATATGTTCAAATTAATGTGACTGGCCATCTCACAAAAACGAAACTCTTTTGATCAAACTCTGAACCCTAACATTTTAAGAATGAGATAACAATACATATCATTCTATTATCACAGTCCTTGCATGCAAGTTAATTAGTATTCAAATGATTGTAGCTAGTCCATCCCTGAAATGGTCCATACCAGGGGCTCTAGGAATCATCAGGGTTTTAAAAACATTCTTGCAGTTTCAAGTTCTAAGCTGAACAACAGATCTGAGCAACAGGTATAACTGAGTATACAATGGGTGTATTATACATGAAGGTCTCTGCTGGGGTAACAGCAAGAACTGATGTTTTTATTCATGCTGCTGGGTCCTTACTGCTGTAATAAGAAAGTGACATCAGGAAACTGCATGTTAAGAATATTACTGTGTACTTCTTGGAATGTAAGACAAATGGTTTGAAAATTTAAGATGAAGAAAAGAGATGAAACAAAAGAGAGCAGGAAACCTGGAGGGTGTTTCAGGA